GGAACGGTATACCCACGCTGCCATGCTGAGGGGAGTGCATACCAGAAACCACGGCAAGCATGGGAGTTGCCCCAAGGATGTCTTGACGGCTGTCAGTGACATCCCCTTCGGCCAAGGGCCTGAGCTGCATACCATGAAAGAACTTACCTGTTAAGGGCTGGGCTAGGAAGCCCAAGCCTAGGGCCGAGCTCAAGGCTTGGAAAGAGATTCCTTTAAGGGGATACGGCCAGGTATCTAAAAACCAAACCAGACCCTGGCCTGCCACCCAGGGGGGCTACCACCAGTTCTGAATAAACCTGCACAAAGAACTGACTCGACAGAAACGTATCAACAGAGATACATACAGTGGGGCAAAAAAGTATTTAGTCAGTAAGTGCACAGAATGCTTAGCGTACACACTTACCACAATGTGGATTTTAGAAAGTGCACAGAAGCTCAGCATGTGCACTTACCATAGCATTGATTTAGAAACATCATTGCTGAAGGGGTAACCGAAGCTGTATTAAACCAGCCTAGGAGCCCTACGTGACTGTTGCACGCTCACAGAAAAGACTCCGAAGCATCTGCTCACAGATGCCCAGAAGGGAGCAGCGCACTTGCAAGAGGCCCTTCATGGTGAGGGGAACACAGCTATCTCACTTAACAAGCAACCAGGGAGGCAGGAGATGGCCCAGCCACCTGGCATGATTGCTATCCGGAGCTCAAAAGAGCGGAGGTCCAACTTCAAAAATAAGTTCTCACGCATCCCCTCAATGTTGGCATAACTAGTATGCTGGAATCTGTGGATGCGAGACGATAATGGATTTTTCCAAGCCTTCTCGATCTCCACATGGAGATCAGGAAGAAATGGGAGGTTCACCTGAGCTGGAGGGCTATGGCTAGAAAGAATACGCTTGTCGAGGCGGCCTCGAGGTGTCACTTTCTTGGCCCGCTTCAAGCCTCGCCATGGCGCGATCCATAACCTCAAGCAGCTCATCATACACGGGGCAGGAGGATTGGGAGGACTCAGTCTCGACTTCTTCGTCCTCATCTGACATCCCGCTGGATCAGACGATGTAAGAGAGATAGCATCGTCGTCCAGTAGCTCACTCTCGTCCGTGACCGATGAGCGCGAAAGGGAAAGACCCTTTTTCAACTCATCAGCCAGGTCCATCTGCGATCCCCACAAGCTTATTTCCTCCGTGCCTCAGCAGCGGAGGGTCCTGAACCATGGGGAGCTGATGGCTGTCCCTCTTTCCTCGAAATGAGAGACAAACGAGAGCGGAGCTTCTTTATAGGAAAAAGTTCACAGTGCACGCAAACTGCCCCCTTGAGAACATTGCGCGCGTGCTCTTCGCCCAAACAAAAGATGCAAAGATCGTGTGTGTCATCAGGTGTCAAATAACGAGGACACGGATCCACACATTTCTTAAACGCCTTACTAGTGCTCGCCATGGTAAAGAAAAATAATCGTTCTTACCGGAAATTCATGCTTCAAACAAAACAGTCCTTAAAGACGAAAGAAGAGGACGTGTTCTCCCGGCGCCCTTTTATACTGTGGTCACGCCGGGTGATGACATCACAGGCTGTCGCCGGCCAATGTTATTGTCGTGTCTAGATGTATGCTTCAGACACCAGTCATGCTGAAGGCGTTCCCCACAGCGACCCCTAGAGGACGCAGTTCGAAGTTCCCTCGTAAGATAACCAGGAAATCCCTATAGCAGCAGCTGAATAAACAGAAGATTTAAATGGTTTCATTGATTCAGTGTGACTAATAAACACACGACTGTGGCAATATATGGTTGTAGCACAGTTCGTAATAAGGAAGGAAGGAAGTGAACCAGGTGGGTGTTTGGAGACTCATGGATATTTATTTAATAACTCAAAACTTGAACAAAAACAAAAGTAGCGCTTTCCAGCGCGTTCACACACTACCAATGGCGTAAATTCAGTTCATCAGGTTTTCTCTCTGGCCGAGCGATGCCCACGAGTATCCGTCTCTCTCTCTCCTCCACGATCTCCAGTCTGCCTTTTAACCGGCCTCTCCAGGCCAATTACTGCAATCAGACATAGGTGTTCATCATTTTGCACTTGACCTACTTACTCACGCTCGTCTCCCGCCCCTCTCTCTGGCTGCAAACTTCGCTGAACCACACCCCCCTCGCCACAATGGTTTATCTGAGTTCTTATTATTATAATTTTCATTATAATAAAGTATATCTATAATGCAATGCTAATCGACATAGCCTTTATCACTGCTTAGAATACTATGAAATATGTTGCGTGCCTTATTCTGTGTAAGAAGCCATATAATCTCACAGAAGGATTTATTTCAAACCCTCGGCTGACGTTATGAAGTGAGTTTGGAGTAAAAACGTGTTATAAAATGTGGTATTTTCACATGCTTTCAGATGGAGCAGCATTTACTACACAGAGCTGTAGTTCACTGAGAAGCTACGCAAACAGCTGTCATTATCGTGAACGATTTCTTCGGCCGTTTCTCAAACGGAAGGCTGCATATGTCAACTTATTCTACTAATCCTAAACCTAACCTAACATTCTACTCTGAGAGTTAGTAGACATGTAGTTGCAAATTAATAAGAATTAGTTGACATGTAGTTGCAAAGTTACTTATAGTTAGATGTAGAATGTCTAAAGTGTACTATCAAAATAAAGTGTAACCAAATTCAGCTCATCCAGTGTGTTTTTAAAGATCTAAATTCAGTGTTAATGATTAAAGGTGCAGTAGGAGATCTTGGAAAATGCTAACTTTAGTCTGATAGGTGAGAAAACTTTAAAAGTACTACAATAGCAGGACGGAAGATTGGCTTGTTGATGTTTGTCTGCTATTCTCGCTCTGTCTGCACAGCGTGCGTGAACGCGCTGATGACGTATCCTGTCTGCGCGAACCGGGTGTGCAGAGGTATGCTAATACATAACTTGACAGGCAGGTAGGAAAGCCAATTAAAACGCTCGGACCGAGCGTTTTGATTGGACGAACATTTCTTGGTCCTACACCTTCCACAGAATATATAAATACAGACAAATACATTTAGACCACTTAACTTAATGGTCGCTATCGGGATGTGAAGAGACTTTCAACAAGCATAACAAAAAAATTTCTGAAGACAATCACCTATTGCACCTTTAATGAGAAATTTTTGTGTAAATGTGTCATGAAAATAATGCCACTATGCACAAACTCATTATTTGCATTCCACTACATGTTCTTTCATGTTTCTTTCTGCTGATGTTTGGGGTTAAATATGAGCGTGTTTCTGGTGGGTTCGGTTGATGTACACAGTGGGGTTGTACTGTATATCGACTGCATTGAGCAGCACAGTTGTGTGTGTGTGTGTGTGTGTGTGTGTGTGAGATTTAGCTGTGGTTCAGGCCGAACTCCCATCAGTCTCGGCTCAGCGGCGTCATAATGAACCTCTTTCTTTCTCATTCACCTCGACTCGGTCACTTTCAGCATGCCCAGCGTTTTGTTGGCGCTGCTGGGAATCTCAGGCCGTTAAAGGCCGACAGCTCGGGGACTTGGGAACTCGGGCACGCTCGCACTCATTGTGATGAACTGATGTTGTGGCACCTTCCTTTTCTGCAGCCCTTGCATAAAAGCCGTGGCGGATGGACTAGCAGTAAGATTTGGGAGCAATATTAATTCAGACACTTTGAGCTGAGCATGTGTTTCTGAAGTGTTTTTCTTTAATTGCTAATGTGATCTTTTTACACCACAGACTGAACAACATGAAGCTAAATGGGTTTTATCTCATTGTGTTCCGCTGACAGCTATTCAACCGAATTCATTACATACCTTTCTATCAAAGTTATCTGAGATTATCAAGATGAGTTTGTTCTGACTCTGAGTTCTTCTCATATTTTAGTACCATCTTCTAAACTACAGCCAATAAACTGTGATATAATGTGAGAAATGTTGAAGGTGTCTGAATAAATTTTGGTTTGACTGTATATCAACATGTCTATAAGATAATCATTTTTTTAAAGTAATTCTATCATGATTCTTCTTATTATGAAAATATGAAACAAAATATGAAGTATTACTAGTGTAATATTTCTCTGTAAAAAAAAAAAGGTTTTAAGATAAATAATATCATGATTATTTTATTTTTACAGTCCCACAGTCCCATATTTATAGTTGTCTAAATTTCTTTGTTTTTATTAAGCTTTTATTTTGGCAGAAAATCACGGGAAGTTTCCCTTTTGTTAATATGCGCATCTCATTACAAGTTTGGGAAGATGGTTTGGTGTGTGTTATATAATGTATAATGCTCATTATATTGGACACAGACTCGAGTCGCTCCGAGACACTGAAAGCACTGCATCACGAGCTGCTCGTCTGTAAATGGACACAGTGCTGTAACTGATTACATGGTATCTGGATTACATAATCAGAGTCCAGAAATATTACATTTTAAAATCATAATTAGATTACAGTTACTTTTATGGTTTACATGATTACATATTATTCACACAATGGCAGTAAATTATTCAAAATGTATTGATTCAGCCCAATTCTTTCTAAATGAACCTACCACTTATATACAGTTTGGGAAAGCCTGAGTAATGTAATGTTTAATGCATTTCATGATGTTGACAACAAAAAATTGAATATATTTTCTTTTTTTTGTTGTTGTTTTTTTTATGGTACAAAATAATCCAATTCAAGTCTATTTGATAATCGAGTTAGGTCAAAAGTAATCAAAAAGTAGTCAGACTACATTACGTAATATGTGTAATCCAGATTGTTTTATTAACTGCAATATTCGTTATCAGAGCTGGGTAGTAGCTGATTACATGTAATCTGGATTTCGTAATCTGTACGAATCTGTACGTAATCTGTAATCAGTAATGAACTACAATTTGTAAGTATTCTAGCCGCTTTACTCTGAAACACACGGTATATATATATATATATATACTCAATTCGCAGACTTTGCATGCTAATAACTGCTGTTTTATTTCAAATGATTTTCAGCCCTCATTCATGATGAAGCAGAGATGATCAGACACAGGTCTTTGAGAGCATCTAGATGTTTTCCTGTTCATCTGCTTGCAGGTGGTCATCATGAGAGACTACCATCACGAGAACGTGGTCGACATGTACAACAGTTATCTGGTCAGTGATGAACTCTGGGTAGTGATGGAGTTCCTGGAGGGCGGAGCCTTGACTGACATCGTCACTCACACCAGGTTAGAGCCGATCGTCCAATCAGAATCAGAGTCTGAACTAGCTGATTTCACACTGATGCATTCATCTGATCTTTTGATTCAAAGTACACCAAGATCCAAGTGAAAGAGAAAATGATTAAGTGAGATTATACACTAGGCCTCGTTATTGAGTTTGTGTCAGAAATACCTAGATCACCTAGATCGTGGACTTGATTGCACAGATACTATTTAAACTGAGCTGAGCTGGATGATGATGAACTGAATTCAATGATGAACTGCCTTTAACTGAAGATTGAGTGTTTACTATTGTCCTTCTGCATTACTGACACACTATTTTCATATTTAATACTGTAAAACTGCTTTGACACAATCTGTATTATTACAAGCGCTTGATAAATAAAGCTGACTTGACTTGACGAGATGTTTTGGTCTCATTAATAGTGAATATGTTTAACACGTTTCACAATCAGCTTTGATCTAATATGAAACTGAGAGTAATATTACACTTCTGCAGCTGATTTATGCAGCGGTTTGAGTGCAGCATTATCTGCTGGAGACAATAGTCCAGTGATGAATTATTATTGTGAAAGTTTGTGGTGGAGTTTGTTTTAAACGCTGCCTCTGCTCTCGAAGCGTCTGTATAATTACAGTAATTGGCGTTGTTCGTCAGTTCGGTGTTGCGCGGTGTTGGACTGTAATTGCACGCTTTCAGACACACGCATGACCCGTCGGCACGACACACTTCCATCCCACCACAGAGAGGAAGAGCAGCTTCTGTTTCTGATGCGCTTTATTTCTGTCCTGTTTGAGACGCTAATAGAGACGCTCATGTCTACATAGACAGATCCCTTCTTAGGCAGCATCCTGAGTGACACACGGGTCTGAATCAGCAGATGGATCATGTGATTCTCACAGCCAATTCCACCTAAGGTTTAAATAGAATTAGTTTGACTAATTTCATTGTTTTTTGTTTAATTTCATCTTTTTAGTGTCGAATGTATTCATAAAATATTTCATGTTTAAATCCTCCTCATCACATTGTGTCACGATTGACACATGCTTACATTCAAATGCTTATCCAGAGTACAGTCGGAAGCAATTGCATTTCAAAATGAATAAAAGATACAAGATGTAAGAGTAACAATAATGCAGACATTAATAGAAGAAAACAAGGGAAAGACTGAAGGAGGTGAGGTCAAACAAAGTTCACATTCTAGATGTTTTGACAACATTTCTGTTAATAAATGTGGAGATTGTACCTAAACACAAACTCAGTCATTAAAATGAGATTTACAGTTTGTGTCTTAACATCTGAACTAGGGATGCACCGATATGAAAATTTTGGCCTATACCGATAACCGATTATTCTTTATTTTTGAAAGCCGATAACCGATATGTTGGCCGTGCTTACATTCAAATGCTTATCCAGAGTACAGTCGGAAGCAATTGCATTTCAAAATGAATAAAAGATACAAGATGTAAGAGTAACAATAATGCAGACATTAATAGAAGAAAACAAGGGAAAGACTGAAGGAGGTGAGGTCAAACAAAGTTCACATTCTAGATGTTTTGACAACATTTCTATTAATAAATGTGGAGATTGTACCTAAACACAAACTCAGTCATTAAAATGAGATTTACAGTTTGTGTCTTAACATCTGAACCAGTGTTATTTTACTATTTATAACAGAAAAAATGAGCCGATATGGGCCGATACCGATATGGTGGCCGATATATCGTGCATCCCTAATCTGAACCAGTGTTATTTTACTATTGTTAATATACTGCTGTGGTTTTTATTCATACTTTGAAGTATCTTTTATTTTTATATTTTCAGTCTTTATACTTTCAATTTTAGTTAGAGTCAGTTGGAGTTGGGTGGAGTCAGGTGGAGTCGGTTGGAGTCAGGTGGAGTCGGTTGGTGTCAGGTGGAGTCGGTTGGAGTCAGATGGAGTTGGTTTGAGTCGTTGGAGTCGGGTGGAATCAGTTGGAGTTGGGTGGAGTTGGATGGAGTTGGATGGAGTCAGATGGAGTTGGTTGGTGACAGATGGAGTTGGTTAGAGTCAGATGAAGTTGGTTTGAGTCAGTTGGAGTCGGGTGGAGTCAGATGGAGTCGGTTGGAGTCAGGGGGAGTCGGTTGGTGTCAGATGGAGTTGGTTTGAGTCAGTTGGAGTTGGGTGGAGTCAGATGGAGTCGGTTGGAGTCCGATGGAGT